TAACCGGGAGTATTTATAGTCTCTCTCTCTCTCTCTTTGCCCACGGTCATAAACATATACCCAAACATGAAGCAGCACACGCAGTATACACTGCTGCAGCTGAAGCGACGAATAGAGAAAAGAAGAAGAACGAGAGAAGTAGAGAGAGAGAGAGATGAAGAAGAAGAAGGAAAAAAAATACATAAACGACGACCGACTTCATTCTATACTTCAAGTTACTTGGCGCGCGGAGAGTATCCGGTTTAGAGACGACGACGCTCTGTAGCTAGGCTATATAGCAGAGCTCCGAAGTTCTGTGTGTTTCGCGCGCTCGCGCGACCGACCGACTGGAGCGCTCCCACATCGATGTGTGCTGCAGCCATGCAGCAGCAGCGACTGTACACACATAAAATGCCGTATGGGATGCAGTTGGGAATGTGCTTGTACACAGACGCACACACACACACACACACACGTGAGCGGTATAGTGGCTGAGCGTCGCAGCGTAGGTATGGGTATTAAACAGGTTGGAGCGCGAGACAAAAGGAGAGAGAAAGAGAGAGAGAGAAGCAGCAGGACATCGCGAGAAAGGAGCAACGAGAAGAGAGAGAGACCAAGAGAGAACCACAAAAGGTGCCAGACGCGCGATACGGTGTCACGCCATTAACAACATTATTTGCACTTCATTGTACCTATTACGTTGTTGTTGCTGTTGCTGCTGCTGCTGCTGCTGCTGCTGTTTTCTACCCAAGCGAGAGAGCGACTCGAGAGCAAGATATCCCTCTCTTTTACGCACCTTTTTCTTTCTCATTTCACTTTTCGTCTTTCGTCTCGTCTCGTCTCGTCTCTCTCACTCTCTCTCTTCATGGGCTCGTCTCGTCTCGTCGCCGATCCCGCATTGTGTAAACGCATGTAGGTATACCTTTAAATCGTAAATTTTATGATCTTCGATACTTTATGTGTCACAGCAGCAGCAGCACTTATGCTATACGTGCCCGTGCATACGCGTGCCTCGTCTCGTCTCTCTTCTCTCGATCCTAAAGCATACAAGATGAAAGATTCTCCACGCGCCCCACGTATACATACATGCGCGCGCGTAGTGCCATGATCGTCTCTTGATGATGATGTTTATATCGCAATAAAAAAACGACACAATAAAAGTAGAGGCGAATATATAGGTTTTTACGGTCACGCGCACAGCAGCGATCGCTCTCTCTCTCTCTCTCTCTCTCTCTCTCTCTCTCTCTCTCTCTCGAATGGGCCAGAAGGGGCCCATAAACTACATACAGCACACATGCACACAGGGATGACAATCGATTTTTATGAGCCATCAGTGTCTAGCGCGCGCGCGCGTCATATTAAATATAACCGATAGCTCGCAGAGCTTTGTAAATCCATATAGCGGCAGCAGCAACAATCGAGCAGCTCACCAAGTATATATACGGTATATATACTAAAGTAATGTGTACGGCACACACAAGCACCATCGTATAAGCAACCTGCCGACGACGACGTGAATATAACTACGCGATAGAATGTACATTATGCACTATGCGCTGTGAAGCCGCTGCTGCTATATACAATGGTATATAGTGTATAAAGTACCTACTGCCGCGCGCACTATATATAAAACGCGAGTGTATGTGTGTGTGTGTATTATACATAATGGAACGACTACTACCACTACTGCGAATGAGCTGTGAAATTGAAAAAGTGCGGTAATGCAGCAGGGTCGCGCGCGCGCAACCGGTGCTGCAGCAGCAGCAGCAGCAGCAGCAGCACGCAAAGCTCGACGATGTTTTTTCATTTCTTATTTTTCTTCTTCACAATACACGTACTTCTATTTTATATACATTTTATATACAAAACACCTGTGTGCATAATTGGGGCGGCCACTATTTCTAGTAAAAAAAAAGCTCGATTTGCCTAGCGTTTTCTCGTCATACTCGCACGTGCTTTGGACTTTTGACTTTTGTTACGCATAAAATATAACCCCGTACATATAAATAAAAGTATTATTAAAGGGCGCCACTAAAAAAAAATAAATCTAAATTACGTTTATTGGGACAAGTACGAGAGATGGATTATAAACGATATCGCGCGCCGGCCGGCCGGTATATTATAACGCACCTCGCACGCTATATATTACAACAAACACCACACTTTGCGTCGTTGTTTTAACGCGCGTTGGTTAATGCGCTTGGCACTCTCGAAGACACAATTATTAATCGTTTCATACATATACTACTAGGTGTGTGTATGTGTGTGAGTATATGCATGGAGAATGAAGTAACACAGCGGCGTAAGCGCGGCGGACACGTTGCAACTGCTATACAGCAGCACTGCAGGCTCGTATTGTACACATATAGTAGATTCGCGCGCGCACAGTAGACTGCAGCTCGCACGTGGGCTTTCCAACGCCGGCAGCCAACTTTTATTATTAATGCGTCTAGTGACGCGCCGGGCGCATACACACTCATGCACGTATATAGACACGTATACAGCTCGCCGCCCGATCGCTTGTTGCATTATACACGCGTACACACACGGACGACGACGACGTATTATTAAACGCATACATAGCCTAACGCGCATTATTATACATAAATAACGCGTTCATTTTTTATTTAAAACCAATTTGCAGTCTAATGAGCGTTGTGACTCAGCGCATCGACGAAGCGGCTCTAGCTGCTGCTGTACGCTCCTCTGTGCTTTGGCTGCACACACGCGTACACACATACTACACGTATATACGCGAGGAAGCTGCACTTCATAAATATAATATATTATAAACACGGTCCGAGACGTCGTATTGTACGTGCACCAAATCGATCGATCATCGCTCCGCTGTGTGCCGACGACGAGAAATCCCTCCCCGCCGCCGCCCCAGACAGCAGCACGTCTTCTTTTTATTTATTTATTTTGTTTTCGCTCTATTTTCCTCGCCGCTATTATCGTCGTTTCAACTTTCATAAATCCTTTATAGACCAACCTAATTACCGGCAATTATAAATAGTAGCTGATAATGACATTGCGTATAATGCAATAATAATAATAACGAATTTATTATTCCCCGAGACGACCGAGCGCGCGAGCGAACGAACGAGAATGAGCAAGATCCGAGATAATAAATAAACAACAACGAAGAGCAATGTACATAATACGGTACAATACGCTTGTTTACGAGCCAACGCGCCGATAATGAATAACATACACTCGTATATTGCTGCGGTGGTGGTCTTTCGATCCTCGCCGCCGCCAAGCGCGGAGCGGTTGGCTCTTTCGTTGCGTTTCGTATACTTCATTTTCTGCTTATGCTGCTGCTGCTGCAGCTCGATGATGTGCAGTAAAGTTTCGACGTTAATTTCGTGCGTCGAAGTTATCTCGCGACGCCGCTCGTGCTCGGGCGAGTTTCGAGCGAGCTGCAGCGTGTGTGTACGCGTATATTATAACATATAATATCTATAAAACGAAGTGCGTTCGAGGGCCGTTAGCGCGAGCCCGATCGTTATTAAATATTAATGCACATTTGAAGTTCTTGCGCGCGCGCGCGTTCACTAACGCTCGTTTTACTCACATTTTTTTGGGGAGACTATACGCGCGCGCGCATCGATTTATCTACGATGAGAGCGCGAGATAATTTATGGCGCATTATACACTCGGCAAGGGCCGAGGCAGCGGCGCTCTGCCCAGCTCGCGGGTTCATTTGGATTTTTTGTCGCCTTCTTTCTCTCTTTCTCTCTCGCTGAAAACTTATCATAAAATACGTAGGCGTCCCGTATATATATATACGAGAGAGGATGGTCGTATATGGGACTGCGTAGAAAGACAGAGAGAACTCGGTAAGCCGCGGAGACGATTGTAAAATTGTCGATTATCGATTCTTTTTGCCGAGCTATATTAACGATCTATTGTAAAGCTCTCGCTGTGCATACGCGTGCGGACGAGTATGATTTTTTTTTTTTTTTGCAGCGCCACGAATAATCGATGATAATTATCGAGGCGCCTATACAAAAATTGAAATAAACGACCGAAGCGCGCGCGCGCGGGTATAAAACGTAAGGATAGATCGAGATAATTGCGAAAATGAAAATTCACCCAAAGAGATTCACCTATGCGTGTACGTATAAATCCCAACGCAGAACGTGCCCAGTCCCAGCTCGGCGATTCTCATTTGTAAAATCGCACGCTGCATTATAATAACGTACTACGTGTTGTCGATGATTCAAAATGTTATACAAATTGCGCACAGTCAGGCAGAGATATGTGAAAAAAATTATAATCACACGCAAACAAGAAACGAGACCGTGAACCGAGGTGTATAACTCTCGCGCGCGAGTTCGTGTGCGTAAACGCCGAGTAGGTATATGGACTTATTATACATTTTGTTGATACATTCTCTTATCGGCCAGCCGCACCGAATCTCTGTACGCGAGAAGCGCGCGTATGTGTGTGCGTGTGTACAATAATATATATACCATACCGATAAATCCCTCGGGTGCCGAGAATGTTTATACGCATGTATACCGTACGCTGTATAAGCACTCGGAAATAAGCTCAATAACAAACTATTTGTCAATCCTCAAGCTGAAGGCAATCGTACGTATGTGTATGTATATTTGCGTATGTTTACAAGTGATTTTCGGTGATTCATATTACATACGATACTCGACGCGATTAGAGAGGCGCGCGCAGCAAACGATTCTCTCGCTTTTGCCCGAGAGCGGCGAGCTTCGAGAGGGTCGAGCGAACGATTGATGTTGATTTTGGCGCGCACGCCTCCCGCGCTTTAACACGATTCAAAAACAATAATTGCGATAAGTTGCGAATTGAACGAGTGACACAATTATCAATTGCTTTATCGAGTCGAGGGGCAATTAATCACGCGATGGGGATACATATTGAGTGGAAAAATAATCAAAGGAGTCTCAATCCTACTGTTGATGATTGGATTCACTTGAGAGATTTATAAAGATTCTAATAGTATAAAATAAAAATAGTATAGTAAAACGAGTACTCACCATTAGTTTTTTTCTGTGACGATGACGACGACGAATCTTTCAATTGCGGCGGGATCGGAAACGACGTGTTTTGACCGTAGCACAGATGCAAACAGTTCAACATTAACAAGATCGCAAACAATCCCAGCAGCACGTTCAATGTCGAGGTGTGACTGTACGTTTTTTCTGCTCTCTTCTGCGGCGGCGGTCGATCGTCCTTGTAACCCTCGTCGTCTTCATTATCGTCGTTGATGTCTCGACGAAGCTCCTCGAGCGTCGTCGGCGGGCCCTGACGCAATCTCGCCAGCTGCTCGGGACTGAGTCGCTCGAAGCGCGGACACGTCGGACGATGCGGATACACGGGATAATTGTTCTGCTGCCTTCTCGACTTCTGGCACTCGCAGTAGTGATGATTGTCCGTGCTCGTCGTCTGCTGACTGAGACGCAGCCGAATCTCGCCCAGATCCTCCTCCAGCTCGGGCGACAGCTCCTCAGAGGAGCTTTCCTCGTCCTCGAACGCGTCAACGGGCCTGGGACCCTCGATTTTCGCGTCGGTCTCTCTGGATCTCGTTCTTCTGGCCGGCATCCTGCTACTGCTGCCATCGTGATAGAGTGAGCGAAGCATTTTCGTTTATTTTGCTGTTTTTTTTTTCAAATTTTATTTTTCGCCGTACGTCGACGATCACCGATTTTGCAACGGCGCGTCTCCGTGTTGTTATCGTGTCGATTCACAGCACTCGCAACAGCTCCTGCTCATATTTTTCGACTATTAGCGAGTCCTAATAGTCGATTTTCCGGGCGGCCTTCCTTGCTCCGGGGCGCCAAAATTATCGTCTCTCTCTCGATCGGGGTGGATAGAGCTTGCAGCGAAGTTTCTTCACTCTGTCTCTCACTCCCCCTTTCTTCGGTTAATTGCGATCGGTTAGCAGCAGGCAGAGGTCGATGATACCGTAGACAGGACGATTACAGTGATAAGAAAGTTTCTTTGGTGGTTTGGGTAGATGATTTCGTCGCATTCTGTAACAAGAAAGTGAAAGCTCAGTATAAAAGACATTCGTCGCACATTGAAATTATAATTTCATGTTGTTATGTTATTTCTTAAAACGTATATTTTCGTAATGAGAGTGATTTATTTATATTTTTCTGTTTTGCCAATAAACTCGCGATCAATTTGCTCTCGAGCGACGTTCGTTGTATATATATTTTATACATATACCGATATTTACGCCGCATTACACACCGACAACAAGCTTATCATATTTTTGTAATTCTCTCTTTCCCTTTTTTTCTTTTCTTTTTTTTTAAGCAATAATACCAGTTCACGCTAGTCGACGCGCGCGCGGACACAAGCGTATTTACTCTTTTTCTCGTATTCTCTTGTCCTTATCTTAGGCACCGGCGGAGAACCGATATAAATATATGTATACACGTGCACACACACGCGCACGCACGGAGCATTTCTCTTTGAAAGTATGAAGAAATCCATGCATCCGGTTCGATACGCCGCAGTTCGAATGCAACTCGTAGCTTTATACGTATATACGCGCACACACACAGGCGCAATCGACTTCCGTCGTCTTCCTAATGCGTATAAACGCCGAGTTGTTGCTGTTGCTGCTGCTGCAAGTGTGTATAGCTTTAATTATGAACTCGCAGCCTGCGTATACACATGTGAGTGTGTGTGCGCGAGTAAACAGATTTGCTAAATAGACGCGGACGCGAGAGAGAGAGCGAGAGAACGCGGTGAGGCAATAAATAGCAAGGTAATGTTGGTAATAGGATTGTATGAGGGAAAATTAGAACGTGTGTGCGTGTGGATATATACGACAGGCGATAATTTAGAGCTGCACAAGAGAGATAAAGAGAAAGAGAGAGAGAGAAAAGGGGAGGAAGAAAGAAAGAGAGTAAAAAAACAAGACTTGTATACAGTGCTAAAGCCACAAATGCCCAAGCGTATAATACGCGCGAACGGATTATGCACGTGGTACCAATAGCAGCAGCAGCATCAGTAGCAACAGTATTAGTCGTAGAAGTAGTAGTAGTAGTAGTAGCAACTGGGCAAAAAACAATAGAACGCATGAATGAGTTAATAAAGCTCGTGTTCTGCGCTACAGGTCGTGTGCGTACGTATAAATCGTATAATCTTTCGCGCGGGCGAGAAAGAGAGAGAGAGATATAGAAGTACACACAAACACGATCGCTGGATGGACGCGGAAAAAGGAGAGAGAAGAGCGAAGAAGAAGAAGACGCGATATGTGCGCGCCGATGAACTTGACGATGAAAACACAACGGAAGTAAGTAGTAGTAGTAGTGGCGGTAGTAGTACTAGTAGTAGTAGTAGTAGTAGTAGTAGTAGTAGTAGTAGGAGCACAACTGCAGCAACAACTTCGCGAGTATATAGCGCGCGCGCGATGACGCAGAGTAAAACAAATCGCGTATCTATAGGTGTGTGTGTGTGTATAACTCTCGGAAGACGCCGGCCGCGTATACTATACTCATTCAGCTTTAGTAGAAATTTCATTCATTAAAAAGTTTTTTTTCGTACGATTTTTTTTCTTCGTCGATGATAACGCTATGTGTATTCGAACACGCGCGGCAAGTTGTATAATCATGAATGAAATTACGATTTATTTTTTTTTTTTCGCGCTGACCGCAAAAGCACATCGTCGTCGTCGCCGTCGTCGTCATCGTTGTCGCATTTTTTTCCCCCCGAGCTGTTTGCGTGTGTAACACACAGTGCAGCTTATCAGATATAGGCACCGCGGGAATAAATATATAACGGCACTGACTTTGTTGCGAGAATAAAATGTATATTTATTCTGCAGGCGCATATTTGAAGAAACGTTGATTCAGAGAGTCTCGACGATCCGAGTGTGCGTTACGTACGACGCGCGAATGAAAATCTCCGTCGCGTACGCACCGAAAGGTGAACCGTCTCGTAGTCGCGCGAAGTTGAAAGTCGCGCAAGTATCCGAGAGAGCTACACGTGGAACCAGTTTAACGACTTTCAAAAAATCACTTCTCGAGCCACCACTACTGCTGCACTTTTTTTGCACCGAGATAAAAGTAGAGTAGTATACGTATTTTACGTACATACGAGAACACGCAGAAAACTACTTCGATACGTTTGAATCGCTTAGTCGGATTTCGATTCGCTTTTACATATCTCGCGTAAACACTGACAGCGATTGGAAATGTACCAAGTATATATATAATCTGTCGTAGCCCTCCTTGCCTTGATTCTATGGGGCAATTATATACACGCGTGTACACGAATGATGTTTATGCCGATGCGCTCGCGCGTCGACGTGTGTGTATAGTCTTTGATTCATCATCTTCCGGTTGTAACGCGCGAAATGTTTGTTTAACGAAGTTAACAGAACGACACACTCGCTTTACTTCAATTTTTTTTTGTTATCTTATCGTCACCAGCCAGTGTGTACAGCGTACTGAGAGTAATAGAGAGAGAAGGAAAAAGATCGTAGTTACGGTGCCAACGTAATAATCATTACATTTCCTTACGTAATAAAATTCGAGCTGACTACGGATCATACACCATGGATGTCGTGCGTGCGTGTGTTTTTGCTGGAAATTTCAATGTACGCGTCGCGTGTATAATTTCAATTGCAACACACGTATTTATGAAGAATGCGGCAAAAAGATTGACCGAAACTTATCGCGCGCGCGCGCGAGCTCTCTCGCGTGTCTTTCATTATTCATGCGTATAACGCGCGCGCGTATCAATGAAAGGCGGGCACGTAAGTGTATTCGTTATATCGTTGCAATTCTGCACATAATCGCGTGTGTATATTATTGTATACGCGAATGGAAAAATATCCGCTCGATGGATGCAGTCGCGTATTACATATATTTGGGTTCGCGCTGCTTATAATAATCGCGATGACATTTCGACGAACTTGAATCGTGCGTACGTGTACGTATACGTATGTATTGAGTTATAAAATCGCATGCGATATCTTTCGTTGCACATTGGGAAAAAAACAAAAAAAAAAACAAAGAGAGAAAACAAGAATAAAAGGGGGAAAAGTATATATACAAATCAATGAAAGCTTTCGTATATAAAAACGCAATCGAGAAAATGGAAAACGGTTTATTTTGTGAAAATACGTGTATACGCTTTATCGAAGACCACAGTTTATTACTCGACGCACGCGCGTGTGTGTGTACGTTGGTGCAATGTGTATTGCGCAGCAGCGAAAAAAGTACCTCTTCGATTTCGTTTCCTTACGACATTCGTTTGCGTTCGCCGCGTGCACGCGCGCAAAGGCAAAAGCTTGCGAACCACGGTCGAAAAAAATAAAGCACCAGAAGCAGCAGCAGCAGCAGCAGTGTATACGAGAGAGAGAGAGAGAGAAACGAACGAGAGAAGCACACACGGAGAACGCGCGACACGCGTAAATATACAGAATAGATTCAGTCAAAGGAAAGAGAGCGAGAGAGAGAGGAGTCAAGAGCCCGAGCAATAAAAACGTCAACGCTAAGTAAAATGGCTGGTGAAGAATCCAGCAGAGTATGAAATTGGTTTGCGGATTTTTCGACACCACCGCACGACGTGTGCGCGCTATATAAAATATATAACACGAAGCTCGCTGAGTACATATTTCTATATATGAGCAGCACACATACATATAAGCGATAGTTATAATATCTTTTGGTGTTAGTGTGCGTGCGTGTCCGTACAAGAGCGTGAGCTTTTACGAACATCGCACGTTCTCTTCTCTTTCTCTTTCTCTCTTTCTATGTTTATAGCTTTATGTATGTGTGCGCGCATGACGTACCCGTATACGTGTGTGTGTGTGTGTGAACATGTTTACGAGAGCTGCCTGGCGTGGGTGCATTCTGATACGGCCGCAGCGCAGCACCACAGGCTCTCTTTTGCTCGCTCGTTCGTTCGCGAGCTAGCTATATAGCGAGGCGCGCGCGCGCGCGAAGCAGAAAGAGAGACGAAGAGAGGAAGGAAGTAGTCATTAAAAAGCCAAGTCGGAAGTAAATTTCAAGGATGTGACCATTACGTTATGATGCACGTCCGTTCGTAAATTTATATAAATGTACGTGAAACGCTACGAATTTTCATGCTGCACACAAATGGTGTGAGACAGAAAGAGAGAGAGAGAGAGAGACAGACAGATTAAACGCCGCACGAGCGAGTCAGCGAGCTTAAAATGTGTGGCGCGGAGTAGATAAGAGCCCCGTGGCATAGGCTCGCGCGGCGCGGCCCGCAACGAGATCACCGCGAGATCGGGCGGCGTGGCACACGTTTTTCAGCCTGCGCGCAAGGTGTGTTTATGAATTATTGTTATCATTATCTTCGTTATTATTGTTGTTATTATTACGTATGTATATAGCCTACATAAAATTATTATGCGATACCATTACTCACACCGTCGCCCGCAAATGTATACAGCCGAGGATCGCGGAGAGCCGAGAGAAAGAGTGTTGTGCGGTTAATGCCTCGAAGCCGCACGCGCACGTGTCTCTCTTTCTCTCTCTTTTTCTCGTATAATAATGTATACACACACACACACAAAACCAAGCGAACGTATAAATAAAGCACAGAGAGTGGATCGTGCGAAGAGACACAACAGAAACAGGTTGAACGAAGAAAAAAAAACAACACATCAAAGTGTGTACAAAGTTTCATTCATTCATTTTCCTTTTTTTTTCACGCGGTTTGCAGCGATCTCGATGAAAACAACAGCAACAACAACAACGACAAAGAACCGATCACAGTAACTTTCTCTTGAAATTCCATTTTTATTAAAAAACTGGATAATTAATTACGATCGATCGTTTATGCGAAAGCATGATTATTTTATATACGACAAACTGGTAGCGAAGGTATATATAATAATGCATGCGCGACTCCGAAGATCGCGACGACGCGGCTACCTAATAACTGAGTGCAGCGACATCGACTGGCTTACACCCGACACTTGCAAGCTCTGTCCGCGCTGTGCTTTTAATTATTTTTGATGTACGCAGCAACGAGCACACAA